AAAAATGCAAAGTCAAGTCACTTTTTCCCTAACTCCCAATCCCTCAGAATGTGACTGTATTTGGATCTAGGGCCTCTAAAGATGGAGTTAAGGTTAGATAAGTTCAGATAAATGAGCTCTCATCCACTCTGTTGTCCTTGTAAGAAGGAGATATCTGGGTAGACGAGGAGACATGAGGGATGTGCAGGTGTAACGGGGCAACTGTGGCAAGAGGCAGCAAGAGGGTGGCTGCCCGTAAGCCAAAGACGGAGGCCTCGGGATAAAGTCAACACTGCCAGCACCCAGAACCCTGATCTTGGAATTCTAGCCTTTGGAACCACAAGAAAATAAATTTCTGTTATTTAGGCCACCCAGTATGTTGGGGCGGAGGGGTTGTTCGTTCATATTTAGAGATGAGCTCTTGCTATATTGCCCAGACTGGACTTGAACTCCCCACTTAAGGCATTCTCCCACGTCGGCCTCGTGAGAAGCTAGTGTTACAGGCATGCACCAACTCTCCTGGCCAGTCTCTGATATTCCGCTATGGCCGTTCCAGAAAACTAATGCAGCTGTCTGTCATTTTTGATCCATCCCTAACTGACTCCATCCACCCACCCGGTGCATACGGGGGCTACATTGGCAGGTTTCAACCATCAACATCCCCATAAATCTGACCACTGGGTGTTTTTTGAGGGGTGTGGGGTGGTGTCAAGACAAAAGTTTTTGTAACCTTAGTGCCTTCTTAAGCACTTTCATAGGTGAAAACACTTCATTACCGCACCTCCCACCCCCAGATCAGCTCTTTAGTCTTTGTGGCTCTGTTCCAATCAGAGGGACCCCCCAGGATAGTGGTACCGCACCCCTCTTCCCCGCTTCATCCAGCTCAGCCTTTGCATTAGACATCAGTGTTTTCAAATACGTCTTTAACATATCACATTTCACAGAAAACTAACTTCCCAAAGCAAGAACATCCTTATTAGTATTTAATAAGCCAGTTCCAAATTGCATTTAGCTGAAATCAAAGGTACCGTTCGATTTATTTGAACACAATTTCTTGCGAATGTACTCACAAGGAAGGTCAATAAAGCAGGGCTGGGGGTGTTTCCCTCCCATCCATTATGCTTCCCTTTGCTCACACAGAAGTCAGGGACCTGCAGGGCTTAGGACAGAATGTTCAGCATTCCAATAATTAGTTGACTATAACCCAGGAATGAAAAAGAAGGGGAAAAAATCAACGAACTCTCTCTTGGAAAAAAACAGAAATCGCACACTTAGGCCAGTCAGTGGAGATTCGCCGCTGAACAGCAGTGAGCCACACACAGTGGCTAAAACAGAAAAAATTAAAGACCACGCACTAGAAGCATGGTCTGGTCATTAAAATATTTAGAAGATACGTATGCCTTATTATTTTTTTTGCTATTTGACCCTCACTATTTTGTGTTTTTATTTATCTATTTGATTTTTGCTTTCTAATAGGGATGATTTTGCAACATGTGCCTTAACTGACAATTATTTTTGTTTCTCTCAATTCTTCAAAGTCTTATGTCTTTTCCATCAATTAAAAAATTATATTAATGACTTTATAGTTAATGGGGTAGTTATAAGTTCTTTTTTTTTTCTTTTTTTTCAGTTTTTTGCCAGGGGCCAGATTTGAACTCATCACCTCTGGTATGTGGGGCAGGTGCCCTATTCCTTTGAGCCACAGGCACCGCCCAGTTCTCTTTTTTGAGACAGAGTCTCACTGTGTCACCCTTGGTAGAGTGTTGTGGCATCACAGCTCACGGAAACCTCAAGCTCTTGGGCTTAAGCGATTCTCTTGCCTCAGCCTCCTGAGTAGCTGGGACTACAGATGCCCACCACAACAACCGGCTATTATTTTTTGTTGTTGTTGTTGCAATTGTCATTGTTGTTTAGCTGGCCCAGGCCAGGTTCAAACCCTTCAGCCTCGGTGTATGTGTCTGGCGCCGTAACCACTGTGTTACAGGCACTGAGCCATAGTTATAAGTTCTTCAAATATTTTCTTAAAGATTAAGTTTAAGAACAGAAGACCCAGAGGCATCTAAAATATAAGGATAATAAAAAATCAACTTATTCTTTTAGTGAGCAAAGGGAAGGATTAAAAACCCAACATGGCACAGTGGAGACAGTGAAGGCTCAGAGCCCTGTACTTAGAGCCCCCTGGATTAAAGTCTGTGAGCGAGCGATTCTCATCTTTAGATTCCCCTAATGACTAAACTGTGGATTTTAGTAATTATTTAAGGGCCTCTTAAGGAGTATAAGGAAGATAAAACCCTAATTCCAAGATTGAAGTTAAATGGATATGATTTCATGAAGAATTTAAAATAACTCTATGAAGGCATGAGAATATAATATGGGTTTAAAAAAAATTTTTTTTTCCTGTAACTATTCCATTATATTAAATAATCCATAAAAAGCACAGGTAATGGCAGAGGTGAGACTGCTGTTTTTTTCGCTTGGTTTGTCCTCGGTTCACGTTGACTGAGCACAAGGAGCTGCCATTCCCCGAACTAGGCACTGACATGCAGAAAGTTTTACTGCAGCACTTAGAGAGGAGTTAACACACTGCCCCAACAGCCAGTCTCGGAGACCGCTGAACTGGAATAAACTACGCCATTAAGCGAAACATTGGATGGAGAAGCCGGCTCATTGGGTCGGCGGTTACAGTCATAAGAAGCTCCTTGGGATGTTAACAGATTAAAACGAGTGGCTTAAATTTCCGAGACAGACCTTGTTTTAGTAAACAGCAGAGTAAAGAAACTGGAGTCTTGCCACAGACAGCACCCACGTTCTGGTTCTGCCCCAGTCTCTAACTGTGTGACCTTGGAGGATTAATCTTGCTTCCCTAGACCACCTCAGTTACTTCATCTGAAAACGAGAATGGATCATGGGATGATCTCAAACATTTTTTCAGTGCTCACATTCTGGAATTCGACCATGGTAAATCTACAATCATCACATTACATGACCAGGATGAAATGAACTCTAGGCAGGGGCAGGATGGTGAAGAACTACCTGATGTGTTTTAATGTGGCCAGAAAGCAACAGATTTTAAGTTGACAGTCATAAAATAGAAATGGCCTAGACGTATGAAAAGATAGTCAATGTTATTTGTAATTTTAAAGTGCAAACAGAGACAAGGATATACCATTTTCGTTTATCAGATTAACATTGATGAAAAGTTTAACTGAAGAAAATCCGGTGGTGATTGGGCGTGGGGGAAGCTTTCAGTGCGCTTGGTATGAATGGCAATGGGCACAGTCTTTGCAAAGGTCAATTCGTTAATATGGATCTAAAGTTAAAATACAGTCATGCATCATAGGGTGATGAGGATACATCTGAGAAATGCATCACTGAGCGTTTGCATTGCTGTGCAGCCATCATAGAGTGTATTTACACAAACCTACATACCTGGGCTATACGGTACACCTTTTGCTCTGAGGCTACAAACCTGCACAGCATGCTACTGCCTGGAATGTTGCAGGAATTGTGCCACAATGCTATGTGTTTGTGTCTCTAAATATATCTAAACATAGAAGAGGTGCAGTAAAAACATAATATAAAAGAAAAAAAAATGGCCCACCGGGAATGGGCCACTCACCAGGAATGGAGCTTGCAGGACTGGAAGCCACTCTGGGTGAGTCAGTCAGAGGTGAGTGAATGTGAGGACCTGGGACATTCCTCACGCTCTGCAGACTTTATAAACACCGAACACTTAGGTTACACTAAACTATACTAAAAATTTTTTTTCCTCAATTATAAATTAACATCAGCTTACTGTAACTTATACTTCATAAACTGTTAAGACTTCTTAACTTTTTGACTCCTTTGTAATAATACTTAGCTTGAAACACAAATACATTGTCCAGCTGTACAAAGATATTTTCTTTTTTGAAATAGTCTTATTCTATGAGCTTTTATCTATTTCTGAAATTTTTAATTTTTTTTTTAATTTTTAAACTTTCTTGTTTAAAGACTAAGACACAAACACACACACTAGCCAAGGCCTACACAGGGTCGAGATCATCAACGTCACTGACTTCCACCTCCACATCTTGTCCCACTGGAAGGTCTTCAGTGGCAACGGCATGCATGCAGCTGTCATCTTCTGTGACGACAGTGCCTTCTTTTGGAATACCTCCTACAGTACTCACCTAAGTCTCTTCTGGAGAAGGTGCATTCTCTTCAGAAATATATGCATGGTGGTTTGCTTTGTTTGTTTATTTTTTCTGTCATAGATTTGAGTGAGTAATGTGCTGGGCTAAGACATTAGGATGACTATGACTTCACCAGGCAATAGGAATTTTTCAGCTCCATTATAATTTTGGGAGGGATCATATGATCCTTTATTGAAATATTTTCTTTTTTTGTCAAATCATAACCGGTACATTTATGGGGTACAATGTGCTGATTTTATATACAATTTGGAATGCTTACATCAAACTGGTTAACATAACCTTTACCCTACTTACTTATTTGTTGTGTTAAGACATTTATACTCT